AACCATTCTTCTTACACTAGGATCATCCTCGTTGCTCTCCTCTGCAACCAAGGGCTTCTTCCAAGGTAAGCGGGTCCCCTTGGAACTGAACTAGCTCCTATGGGATATGTTTGGCAATAGAATGTCAGAATCGAACCAACCCGCTGTAGTAGCCATGGTCCATAGTACTCCAGGGCACTGCTGATGACAGCTCAGCCAGCCTGGCTCATTGGCAAGACTTCGAAGAGCAGACCAGTCACTGGTAGCAGGGACTCTTCCCTCTCAGCTCCTGTTAGCCCTGCAAACCATTTGGGTAGGATGGTCCTAGCTGGACAAGCAACTGGAAAGTTTACCAGGCAATGCTCTCAATGGCAAGCTATGAGTTTTATCTAATTAGACTCCAAAAGTATCCCAACACAGAATCTGGGGTCCCCAAGCCTTGGCTCTTGACAGCCTGCACCTAATACTCTCCAGATTAGGATACTTCCCTCCAGGGAGAGAGTGCTCATACCATTCCAATAAATATTATGAGAATTTCCATGTTCAGGTGGGATGCATGGAACTCTCAGTTTATTTTGGATACTTTTAAGCATGGTAATGAGTTTCCATGTGTCAGACACCCGCCTGACCAAAAGAAATACATCCTCTCACTGCTCCAAGGAGTGACTGTAAGAATGCATCAGAACTATAAACTGACATGGCAGATGGACTTACATTCCTTAGGAGGTGTTAGGAGATATAAATTGAGAAAATGTGGATTTTTGGTACAGGGAGACTAAATAAATAATTTAAAAACCCAGGGACTGTAATCTCTCAAGATTTTTCTTCCCCTTTAATTGTTAGACAACTCAATTTAAGGAATTTCGAGACATTCTTCTGCATGAAAAAATAAAACACAATACATAAATAATCATTGCATTTGATATAGCGCTTTTCACCTCACAAGGAAATCTGTATACAGGATATACTGCAATGTGCAGTGAATATGTATTTTGTAGACAAATGTAAAAAGGCACTATAGATCTACAGTTTGTTGAATGAAAACATACAGCTGTAGAAGAGAAAAAGTTTGGGGAAAAGGTGTTTTTTCTTAAAAATAAGAAATTAGAATATAATTCTTGTAATCCTGGCATTTGATATAGCGCCTTATCACATCTTCAAGACGTCTTAAAGCGCTTCCACATTATACTGTAAAGTGAATTGACTGTACATTTTGTGGGTGAAACATGGCAGCCAATTGTGCACAGAAGTGTCCCACAAACAGTCGTGGATTGAAGTGACCAATTCATTTTTTTTAAGGAATTATTACCCCCAGAAACGCAATCCGCCAATCGACTAACAACCGGGTTCCTACTTACTGCTAGGTAAATAGAGGTGTGCCAAGTAAGGAAATTTTCCCAACATCTCTCCCTGCCGGGAATCAATACCAGGTCTCTCGCCTTGCGAGGTGAGTGCTCTAACCACAGAGCTACAAGACTCTGCAGAAGCCAGTAAAAGATTAATCAGAAACAAAAAGTCAAGTCCTTCTGGACTTCTATTGTCTGCAGCCCACACACTATTCTGATAGGATTTCATGCTAACTAGGAGAGATCAGCGGCTGAATGGCACTCCTATCAATCAACCGTGTGATGAGATTCACAAAGGAGCAGGAACCTTCTCTTGCTATTCAAAGTGCTGGGAGATAGGAAAGTAGTCAGGACTGCTGCACTGCGAAACAAATTTGTTTATAAATTCATTCCAAGAATTGAAATGAATTATTGATGAGCTGCAAGCAGTAGTAAGAATACCAAATTAAAGGTACAACATCTCTGTGTTGTACTCCTCTGTGCTGTGCCTCCTGTTTGCCATACCGCTCTGTGTATCCTCTCTACTGTACCTTCTCTGTACTGTGCTCCTCTTCACTGCTCCACTGCTGTTCCCTCAGTCAGAGCACTATCATCTCTTTACAAGGCACATAGAGACAGGAATACTAACACGTGTGTGCTCTCAGGCTTTGTAAAAAAAAAGTGCAATTTAATTTGACTGTGCGAATAATTTAGGCACAGAACTGATCCTAAGTACCAATGCAGCACAGACAGAGTAGTGTGCCTTACAGCTTCCCTTCTCAGAAATATGTGAATAGGATTGGAGGTTAATATATCGCTGAGATGCAATTACGATAATTAGTTGTGGAGTAAAAGTTTATGTCTAAGGACGCGCTTTAACTAAATACAGTTGGAGGAACCCAAGTTAATTGGAGAAATAGCACATCCTTTTCTCATTTAAGTATTTTTACTTCACATCACTTCAATCGCTCGACTCACATCTGCAACCAACTGTATCCGCCACCCCCTCTGATCATTCCCTCCACTCAGCAATCACCTACCTGCTTCATGTCCCTGCTCCACCATCAATGGCCAACCTTTCACTATTTCTGCCCTGCTCTCTGGAACCCCATCCTGGAGTCCCTCCACCTTGCCCCCTCCTTCATCACCTTCAAAACCTGCCTCAATCCACGACTGTTTTTTGAACGCTGCTGTGCGCAATTGGTTGCTGCGTTTCGCCCACATAATACACAGTCAATCCACTTTACTATATGTTCTGTGAAGTGCTTTGAGGCGTCTCAATGACGTGATAAGACGTTATATCAAATGCAATCAATGTTATTATTTTAACACTTAACTTTTTGGTCACTTTTCCCCTTTCCTTCTCCAGCTCAGGTTCTAGTCAACTGTGCGAAGCACTCTGAAGCACAGTTGACTAGAAGCACAAAAGGAGCTATAGAAATATAAATTATTGTGGTTGTTGTCAGAGAATTTCAACAAGAATAACAACTTGTGCTTATATAACACCTTACACATAAGGACAAGTAAATGCCTCAAAGGACTTCATAGAGCATAGTGGGAGTTAAGAGGTAGGTGACCAAAGGATTTCAGATGGAACAAATGTTTTTTTCAATTGCATTCCATAGTTCAATTGCATTCAATTGCATGCCATAATTAATTTATTTTTGCAGAAATTTCTCATTGCCCAGAAAGTCATAGATGAGAAATTGATGGAGAAATTCAAGAAGGAGACGGATGGATACTTGCGAAGTCCAAATATTACAGGAATTCTGTTAAGAAATAGAGAGGCAAGATATTAAGGGAGGTAGTGGTGGACAGTTCCATGAAATGGTCTCTGGTGGAATGAGTTTCGTAGGCCAAATAACCTTCTCACTGTAATCTCATTTAATCATAGATTGGAGAATATTGAAAGAGTATCATTGAGACTGTTCATTTCAGTCTTAGCTTTCAAGTCAGTTTTCTATAGTTCTTAAAAGATCTTAAGGGGGTGGGGGTGTTGGATCATGAGAAACTTCCTCATCTTTTCAAATAGTGGGATCATTAACACCCACCTGAATAGGCAGATGAGACCTCAGTCTAATGTCTCATCCAAAGTTCAGTGCCTCTTACAATGCATTGCTCCTCTACCCCTCAATGGAGTGTCAGCCTAGATTTTGAATTCAATGTCCCGACTTGGAGCTTGAACCCAAAGCCTCCTGAATCAGAGGGAGAGTGCTACCGACTCAGCCAGGTTACCCCCATGTTTTGGTTCTTTGAGAAACTCTGAAATAAACGTTGTGCTTCTGAAGTATAGCAAACTGTGATTAAGATATTTGCATAATCTAATCTGATTAATGGTTTTATGAAGCTAACATTTATTTTCCAAAAAAAAGACTTCAGAATTTTAGATCTAAACAGAAACTAATTTTTTAAAAATTCCACTCCCCAAATTACATTGCCAATTTTGGACACTGTTGTATTGGATGGAAATCCAATCCTATTAGCTAATTGTGCAGTGATTTACAGCACTGAGCTAATAGAGAGTTTAATAAAGTATTAAACTACAGACAAGTAACACTTAATGCAATCTGGCTCCTGACAATTGGATCAAACTGGTGTTTTTAACTTATTACGATCAAGTGACTTGCGTTGTATCCTTGTTGGAAAACGCAGCCAAGTGTTAGAAAGACCCTTAATGTTTGAAGTGAGATTTTCTAATCGGCATTAAATAAAAGCTCCAGTAATTTGAAAATTGGACCTGCTTTATATGTTTGACACATTAATTTTGATTAATGTGCTAAAGGATATGATAGCTTTTATGTTATTCTGTGATAATTCCCACTCTGTCTGGCAGTCCCAATCTTTCTCTATTTTAGGTATGTTTTCATTGGATTGCAGATTGAGTGATTAGTTCATTTTTCATTCTATTTATTTGCCAATGGGTATTGTGTTTCTAGGATCTTTAATCTCGACTTACTAAACTTTTTTGAGACCGTATCATCTTTATAGCTTGTGGTGCATACACATATGTGTTACAGGCTTAACTCTAGATTTGGCTATTGAGTTAGTATTAGAATTCAATATTTTGTGCAGTGAATCCTGAACAACAATTAAAGATTATACAAGATCACAAGATCAGTTTTGATCAAGAAGGATTGTTGACCTCTGTTCTCAACCCTCTAGAATACCCTCTCTTGTTCTACTGCCTGGGTGCATCCTAAAGTATTGATCTGGGTTTCTTTCATGAATTCCTTTTAAAATTTTATATTCCTCTATAAAGTCCAATCTGAGAAATTTTCTCTCAACAAGAGCACAAGCTTGTCTAATCATTGGTGCTACCTAAAGTTAGCCCGCCCGCTAATTACAAACATGGTGACATTAACCACTGTGGTGGCCTGTCAAATTGCTTAGTGATGTAAGTTGAAGTTTCAGATCTCGAATTGCGCACTTTCAGGCCCACTTTTCATATCAAATGAAAACAACAAGATTACATTTGTATAGAGTCAATATCCTGTAATGCATTTCAGCCAGATGGCATTATTCCGAGGTCACAAGGGAGGGACGGAGGGTGGGAGGGAGGGAGGTAGGAAATTTTAACCTCATTCTTTAAGGAACAGATTGTGTTTAGAAATATTGCAATATTGATCCCAGTATTTCTGAATGTCTATTAATAGGTATAACACGAATGGTGATTGAAGAATTACTTTGCTTTTTCAGAGCTTGACTGTTGAACGCCTTGGTCGACGGCCCCTCCTTATTGGTGGATTTGCTTTCATGGCACTGTTCTTCGGATTACTCACGGTTTCCCTGAATCTACAGGTAAATAAGTGCCAGCATATCACAGCTGGAGAACACCATCCCATACATACCGTGAAATTCACTATACATGACACTGTATAACTAGAATGTAGATTTTGTTTATAGTTAAAATTGATGCATTTGCCTTACATTTCCCATGAATACTCATACAAACAAAGCTGAACATTTATTTATGCTTTGCACACAAGCAGACATTCCACATTCATAACATGTTGGCGTCAATGTATTGGTATATTTGATATTTGGTGTTTTAAATATACCTGAATTTCTAGGAGATGCTCCCACCCCAATTTTATTGGCAATGTCCTTGAAGCATTGGAGCTTACAGTCCAGGTTGACAGTCCATTGCAGTGCAGGATGAGTCCTGCTTTGCTAGTGGTGCCTTCAGATGAGATGTTAAACCAAGGCTCTATCTGCTTGCTCAAGCAGATGTTAAAGATCCCATGGCACTATTTGAAAAGAGTCACTACAGTAAATCCCGTGAAGCATTTGAGCATGTTTCAACGATGACATTGTGATAAGCGAACACATTATTGTTATTATTGTGATAATTGGACACATCACACAAAATACAAATTGGCTGTAAGGCTACCTAAACACATTATTCCATCAGGACTTAAAGTGGCTCTATAGTACCACACCCTTCTTGCTTTCTGTCTGGCTTTCTTTCTCATGCATTTTTGTCCATGTGATTTATACAATGTTTGCTATATATTTTTCTTACAGAACAAAGTTTTTTGGATGCCTTACTTGAGCATTATTTTCATCATTGCTGTAATAGCGTCATTCTGCATTGGGCCAGGTAAGATTTCAAAATACAGTATTGCAAAAGTTAATTACATTCATTCTTTCAAACAATGCTTATTGGAAATAAAGATGACAACATGCTTTCACTGTATTTTTTGTGTACGGCTTCTGCATTTGTTTGGATGAGCAATGCATGCATTCAGTGACTCCCGATGGGTTAGGAAGGTGGCCAAAATCACTAATAGAAAAGCACTTTCATTGTTCAGTTTAGCTTTAACCTCCCTCAATGTTATCGCACCATCCTCCTTTGCCACATAATATGAATGATTTGTGAATCCACTTACTTCAGCTGCTTGGCACCTTTCCCATGTTAATTAACTGTCTCCACTTCTTACACTGGTGTTGTTTGGGCATTGACTGGCTCCTGATGTAGTGTCATTTGATTTAGTTCACTAACTGGCTCCGTGATAAGTTAAAAGAGAAACCTGGTGTAAACCTGCTTGGGATCTCTTTTTCTTTCTATACCATGTAATTAGATCTATGATAGCCAAAAAATAACTGAAAGCCTTATGTCAGGAAAAATAGGAGAGGGTAACTGGCTTTAAGCCTTTCATATCTGTTTTCCAGCATTATGATAGCAATAATTTACAATTGTATACTGCCTTTCATGTAAAATAAACTTCTCTAAACCCTTTACAAAATACAGCAGAAACTACTTAAGTCGGACACATCAGGACAGGCCGTTTGTCTGGCTTAAGTGTCTTCCACTGTGTTAATGGATTAGAAATAGAAGGTGAATTTATATATAGACAAGCACAGCAACCTTTCGTGTGAGCAACTTCCTAATTTGAATTTGGTGGTAATTTTGGATTAGGAGAGCAATTTAAAACAGGATAACTATCTGTTCACATTGAACATTACAAAAAAGTAAAATTACATAGTTTCTGACAGTTCTGCCACTGATGGACGGAGCAAGGGAATAGATTTTGGGAGGGAGTTTCAGAGGGCAGGAGCACAGTAACTGAGGTCTAAACATACCAGAAGTAAGTAAATATATAGATCTAGAATGTAAATGTTGATACTTTGGGGTGTGAGGTGGGGGGAAAGAAGGATTTTACTTCATGAATGCAATATGAGATAGATTTGAGCTAGCGCAATGTCCAGGTTATCTAACAGAACATACCTAAAATTTCACTTAAGTCAAATACCATTTGATTGCTTGGTGCCTCGGAGTGGAATGAATACTGTGCTACTGAATAAAAGCCTTTTATAAAGTGAAAGCTGCGAAATGCTGATGATGGCTTTTTCTCACTTCCACCTGCTCTGTTGACCTAGTTTATTCTCTTCCTTTCTGACACGCTGCACAAGCCCTAGTTGTTGTAATTAATTTTATATCAATTATTTTTTAGTGACAAATGTAGAAAACCGCACTTCCCAGCGATTAGAAAATCCCAAACTCCTAACATCCCAAACTCTGCAGCTCGTGTACTCTTGGGCACCAGGCTCCGTGACCCCATCATTCCCACCTTCGCCCGACTCCACTGGCTCCCCATCCCTCAGAGGATCGAGTTCAAGATCCTCGTCCTCACTTTCAAGGCCATCCATGGCCTTGCCCCCTCCTACCTCTCTGACCTGCTGACTCCCTACCAACTTGCTTGTTCCCTCCGTTCAGCGGGATCCGGACTGCTCCATGTCTCCCGCCAGACCCACCCTACCATCGGTGGCCGGGCTTTCAGCCTCTCTGCCCCCCACACTCTGGAACTCCATCCCACAGTCCCTTCGCCTCGCTTCCTCCCTTGCCTCCTTCAAGGCTGGTCTCAAGACCCTCCTCTTCGATTGTGCCTTCGGTCGCCCTCCCACCTCACTGCCTTCCCTCACCCCTACCCCACCCTTCCCCCATGCTCGGGTTGTGACCCTTGACTGTCCAGCGCCTTGGGACATCCTCCTGACATGAAAGGCGCTCTATAAATGTAATTTTGTTCCTGTTGTTGTTTGTTGTTGTAACAATTTTCACTGCACTCCCAAGGCTCTAAATTTTATTTCAGACTGTAATTCTGAAGAACCTTGAGGTATTCAACAGCTTTATGTGGAAGCATATTCCAGTCTCTTCAGTGATGTGTAACACCCATCACAAGCCATTCAGCATTCAAGGCACAATTTCATCAAATGGGACATTGTAATCTGCTATGAGTTGATTTTGCAGTATTTCTTACAGAATTCTTAAGCAATTGTGGCGTCTGTGACACTAAATTAAGGCAGTGGCATTCCAATTCAATCTATCTTCAGAGAGGATGCCCCACAAATCAGAGTGATGTCTGTAACGTACTTCCACTTACTGGAAGGAGCCTACTCAGATTTCTTCACTGAGAAATTTATTAAGAAATACCACAAACTTGATAGCCATGTTTTCATTTTGAATTTTGAGGCACTGCATCAAATCAAAGGCAAGAAGTAGTATTGTATACCTAAAGAAATGCTGCATGCTGGCTAGCTAACTGGGCGGTTGGTTAGATAATGTGTTGGTTAGTGGGCTGGTTTGCATAGTTGATGATATGATACGTTTATTGGCTGGTTTGTTGGGTTGGTTGGGTGGCTTGTTCATTAGGTGGCAGTTAGTTAAGTACCGGTTTAGTTGGCTAGTTTGCTCATGTGGTTGCTTATCTATTTATTTGGCTGGCTGGTGCTGCAAAACTATAGTTTGTATTACCAGTTATATTGGCTGACAGCTTGATGCATTCTAAATGTTATAAATAAGCTTTAGCTTTTAAAAGTTATACTGCCTTCTAGATTTTTATACCAATTTGGAATGAATTCCACTTGATTTATAGAAAACATCATCCTCACTGTTGCTGCTGTCTTCTCATCACATCCATATTACCATTGTATAATGCTCTTGCCTCAAGACTCTGAATACCATCTTAATAATTAGAACAGAGTTGGATTTAGAGGAATAGGCTTGCTAGTCCTTCTCCTTACCTTACTCCCATCAGACTCTTTAAAAATATTGTAAAGCACACAATAATAAAACTCCATTTAGCCCATCAAATTGGCTAAATTCCACAAACCACACAAAACCTATGCCATTGTGGGCATCACTCCCTCAGTCGTCTTGATACAGCTCCACACAGACTCTTCCAGAACCTCAAAGGACCAAGCAAAAACTTAGTGACAGTTTCAGATAGGAGTAAGGCATTGCTCCATCTTACCTATCCATCCAACTTCTGAAAAGAAGTTGGATGGATAGCTAAGATGGAGCAATCCATCTATCCCATTACCCAGTAACCCAGAATCCTTTTTGTTTCCAGGAACTTGTCTAGTTTCTTTTTGAAAATGTTATTGAAGAATTCCAGAACATTCACAATCCTTCCCATCTAATCCATTAGACCACGATCTTTGATTCTCTAATTACAACATTTGCCTCTGTTTACCTGGAAGTAAGTAGGAACTTGGTTGACAATTGGCAGATTGCTTCTCCGTGGGTAATAAACCCTCCAAAAAAAAAATTATTTGGTCACTCAATTCACAACTATTTGGGGACACTGGGGTGTGCAATTGGCTGCTGCGTTTTGCCCACAAAATATGCAATCACTACACTTTACAATAATAATAATCCTTGCATTTGATATAGCGCTTTTCACGTCTTTTAGACGTCTCAAAGCGCTTCACAGAATAGACTGTAAGGTGAATTGACTGTACATTTGTGGGCAAAATGTGGCAGCCAATTGGGCACAGCAGTGTCCCACAAACAGTCGTGGATTGAAATGACCAATTTATTATTGTTTTGTTTTGGAGGGATTATTATTAGGCTCTGTGTGGAATAAGGAAACTGGCCCAAGGTTTCGCCCTGCCGGGAATTGAACCCAGGTGTCTCGCTTGCAAGGTGAGTGCTCTAACCACTGAGCTACAGGATTTGATCTGGATTAGTGTAGCTGAATTGTTATGCTTTATTTAAAGTCATTATTTGCTTCTTCCGCAAGCAACTGTTCTTTAGGGAAATGTAATTCATTTTTAGGATTGACTCAGATTTGCAACCTTTTTTGAACCAGTTTCTAAATGAAAGGAGCATAACTTCAAAGTACATTATGTGTGAGGAACTTGTTAATCATGTTGCTTGCAACTTCCCTTCTTTGAAGATCCGTAGTTGAAATGTTCTTCTATAGACTCCGTGTGGCGGTGATTTAATTAAAAGTAAAGTCAAACAGCTCTTTGACTTCATGTAAAGTAAATTAATTTCACTTTTTGCGCGTGTCGGGGTCTCCTTCCACCTGACATAAGCCCTAGTGCGAGAGTGAACAGGACTCCATTGTAAAACTGGCTTCCTGTAGATGCACAGACACCCCTCAGAGATTATCTCTCCTCATTGTCACCATTCCCTTCCCTCTTCAATTTTTTTGAGTTCCAGGCTTCCTCTTGAAGCTTGACAGCTGTGAAGCTGACTTGGCTGAGATTGGGAACTCAGCGCAGAGAATGAAGGTGTACAGCTCTTTGATCTCTTTCGTCTTTGGTGACAGTCCTACCAACCAGAATTCCATGGCACAGGGCTCTGTGTGACACAACCACACATCTAGTATTGATTGCTGAAAATTAAAGGAAGGATAGATTATATCATGTTAGACAGAAAAAAACAAAAGGTATTTTATTAAAATAATAAAAATAGGAGGAAGTATATGGAGAAAGGGAGATTATGCAAAACATTTTATTTCAGAGCATTTTTGTTTATAGTTTAGGTTTAGTTTCAATGTTACTGTCTAATCTGCTGGCATCTGAATAGCATTACCTCCGCAATATTACTGCTTGTGGGTAGAATAAATGCTTTTTTAAAAAGAAGAGAGGCTAATCAGTTCCCACGCCGTGCATTGATGTTAGGGTTTAAACAATAAATACAATGTTAATGTAGTTGAACCGTCAGTATACAATGTGAGTGTACTGTGGACATGCGGTATAGAGCTGGTACATTGCTCTCTGCTGTGCTGAGCTGCCAGCTTCCTGAGCATAGCACACTGATGACAACAGCGACGTCATCGAGGAGCTTCCGACACTGAAGCACTGACAATG